AGTAGGAGGAACATGATCAGAAAGAAAAAGCAAGAGTTTCAAGAAGGCGTGGAAAATCTGCAGTGCCTAGGGCTATAGATAGCAATGTCTTGGTCATAGTGACCATCACTGCTTACCAACCCCGGTGTTCCAGACACCATACTCTACCGTGTACCTTATATGAAATCTGTTCTTAACAACATGCAAAGCAGTGGAGCTGGGAAAACAATGATTAACTGTTGAGCTCATTCTCTGCAGCTACTGTTTACTAAACTCTTTGCCCACAATAACTCATTCTTGTCTTTACGCATGAGAAAGATAAAGATAGGGAACACTAACTGTAACAACACTTAGGGTTAAGGGAGGGTACTAGGCAATGAGGATTTCTTTTCTTTTTCTAGATGAAATAGCTCTAAGTTGAGGAAGCCACTAGATAGGGGTTTTATTTCACTCACACAGTGGCATACCAGAAAAATTTTATCCTCAGGGTAAAATAGCTCATAGGAAAATCACCATTATCAGTTAATAATTTTGGCCCATGGCACTTACTACTCCTGAGTCCTAATTTTGACCTCTTCAGTTAGATAAATGGCCACACAGAATAGGTACTCGTGGGAAGGAGTCCCTTCCTCTGTCCTACCTCATCTGGTGTTTACATTCACTGAAAACATCTGGAGTTACTCTTGTCTCACTGCATTAAAATTATCTATTAAAATAGTGTCTCCTTAAGTTGTATATGTTCTGCAAAGGCAAGGACCAGTCCTTTTCATCGTTTCCCCAACTTGTCTGTCAGTTGCCTGGAATGAAGCGAGCACTCAATAAATGTCTGAAAAGAATTAAATTTTTTAAACATTTTTTTCCAATGACCTCACAATGGCCTTCTTTAACACTAGAAATTTAGATTGAATTTATCTGTCAGAGTTCAAACATAAAAAACTAACTTTGACTAAGGTAAAACAAAAGAAAGTTTCGGAAGGACACTAGGTCTCTTAGCAGGAAGCCTGGAGATCAAGCTTGGAGGACAGGGCTGCTGAAATCATAGAGTGCCATTATCCAATTGATCAAGTCATCTTCAGGGCTTCCCTGGCACTGTGGCCATACTCAACACTACAATGTGTCTACTGCCATTAATAAACTTCCCCGCACATCCCTGGATTCAGATTTAAACACACAAGTGAAGTGTCCTATCAGCTGAGCCTAGCTCTCAGCCTGTGCTCCAGCTACCAGGGAAGAGAAGGATCTTTTCCTTCCCTGCAAAAGAGGTGAGTTCTGCCTCCATTCAGGACCCGCACCATGGGGACAGGCACTTAGAGAGGAAGGGGATTTAGATCCTAAGCTACCAAGGCAACAAAAATGTCCACTAACCTCACTGAAAGGATTCTGAGTCATTACTCAAAAGGGAAGGATAACCTGCCCTAGAATTTGAAATATAAATAAGATAGATTCCCAGCTATCTGAAATAGTTTAGATAATAGTTCTTCTACGAGGCAGAGATGGATTGAAATACAATATATTCCCACACAGCTATCATCTACTGAAATGCTAGAAATACCTTCATGTCAAAGTCTTATCACAGGAAGCCTGAGAGCTGGAATCGGAATTATATTTCTATTTTTTTTTTAGGCCCTGGCTACAAAGAAGTTGCATTTCCTCCCTCAAGTTGGCTGTCTGCTGTTTGCAACTGATACTGTGCACAGCAGTGCAGCACCTGTGTTTCATGAAAACGTGTGAAAACTGTTTTCAAAAATGCATGCTGTCTAGATAAAAAGAAAACTGTAAAAAATATGTTTGGTTACCACTTCGTAGGGCCTATTGAATTTGTCTGTAAATGTGAATCTAATTGTCATCTATTTCTACTAGAGCCTTCCGTGAACATTACATTTCCATTAGTCAGCTATAGCAGAATATATTCCTGTGTTCACACAGGAATCATAAGAATAAATAATGACCAGTTGTTTATTTAATAATTTAGATTTCTTCTTGATGGACCATTAGAAGAAATAAGCAAAGCCAAAGGTACAGAAAATGTCATTCATTGCCAGTGAAGGGAAAAGGAATGTTTTTACTGAAGTGTTACAAACAGCTTCCTGGTTTTGAATCATGACTACTGATTATTCTCCTGTTCTTCATTTGTAATCAGAGAAAGTCTCCTTTATTACCTGTTCTTGTTACCGTGGGATTGGCATAAAAATCTTACCACTTGTGCAGTTGAATTTGAGGGCTGAGGAACCTTTACAACTTGGGTTAGAGGTGTCAGACTTAAACTGCACTTGTTGCAGAAAAAACTATTCAATTCTTTATCCAATGGCAGGGAAAAACAACATATTATTTTGATAAATTCAGTAACTTGATGTTCATGGTTGATAGCCCCCGTCCTTCTCCTGGTTTTTCTCCTTCAGTGATTTGAGTGTCCAGTGTTCATTTGATGGGTTGACCAGTATGGTTTTTAAAAATAATTTTGTATTAATTTTGATTAACAGTTGTCAAAGAGAAGGGTCTATTCTCACAACTCAGATAAAGAAATTTGCAGTTAATTAGGAAAATGCACATAAAAATGCCAGATGAATATTCCTGAAGAACAGCTCCCATAAATATATCTCCCCTAATTAATTTTAATTTCTCTAACTCTCTACCTAATTAGTCCTATCCCTGGACTTCACAGATTTTCATCCTATAGCCTCTGCCTATTTTCTGAGATTTTATTCTACTTTTTTTCTGTACTGTATGTACAGCACAAATTTGGTGATTCTTAATCCTTGCTGCACATCAGAATCACATGGAAATCTTCAAACAAACAAGCATGAATGCCCTGGGTCCACCACATGCTAATTGGAAGTGAATTTGAGGATGAAACACAGGCATCAGTTTGATATGTGTGTGTTTGTGCAGGGAGGGTTGTTCCTTATTTTGGTTATCTATTGTTACAAATCCAACCACCCCCAATGCTTATTTATATAAAACAGGATACATTTATTATGCTCCCAATTCTGTGGGCCAACTGTTCTGACAGGGAACAGCACTGGCAGTGTGCCTTTACTCCATGATGTCTAGCATTTTGTCTGGGACAACTCACATGGCTAGGAATGTCTCCAGGAGCTAGGGGTTGGAGTCGTCTGGAGGCTTCCTTATTGACATTCCTGCTGTTGAGGCTGGAATAATGCAGAGGCTCAGCTTAGCTAGACCTGTAAGCCAGGTGTCTACATATACCTTTCCACATAGCTTGGGCTTCCTCAAAGCATGGTGGCTGAAAGTAGAAAAACTTCCTATATGGAAGTTCAGGAACTCAGGAGCAAATCCACTGTAAAAAGTGGAATTGCAAAGGCTTTTATGCACCTAGCATCACTTGTGTTCCATTTTACTCATTGAAGCTGTCACAATCTTTCAGATTCAAGGAAAGGGGACCCATCTCTCTATAGGAAGAATATCAATGAATTTGTGGGCAAATTTTAAAGTTGCCACACACCTCAGGTGATTCCAATGTACAGGCAGAATTTAGAACAACCGGATTCATTTTTTTTTAAAGCACCCATCTACAAAGCAGCAGTCGGACTTGGGTGAAGTGAATGAGACACTTAGAGCGCAAAATTTAAGAAAGTCACTCAGGATCATGAGAGCGCAGGTAGGGCCTGAGAGCAAGTGCTTCCTTCCATTCTGTGCTCAAAGTGCCCCACTTGCCACACCTAGTTCTGACCCTGCTACAGAGCAACTGTGTATGAACCATTAGAGTGAGGGGGACTTGGATTCCTAGACTAGTCAGCGCTTTAGTATTGGGATTTGCAAAGCCCAGGTAGGATCTGGGATTCTGTATATTTACAGGAATCCCCACTAGGCTACTTCCAGCTTCCATGTGCTTTCCTGGTGCCATGCCTTTGCTTATGCTGTTCCCTCCGCCTGGAAGTATTTTCTTTCTATTTCTATCAAGTATGGAATATCTACTGATTTTTAAGGTCCATTTCATACACTGCCTTTTATATGAAGCTTTTCTTGGTCCCCACAGCCAGATTGTAACCGTCCCTCCTAAGAAACCCATAGCACATTTACATGCCTTTAAGACATTCACATGTTGATCAGCACTTTGGTTGTTTGCGGGCTTGTCTTATTGAAAGAACATGTTTACTTTCCTGTGAAGGACAGAAAAAGGAGATGTGGATCCTCTCTATCGGTTTCCACTGGCAGACGCAGAGTCTTGTGTGTACACAAGGCTTTCTCTTCTGCCTTTTCTTGCTCCCAGATAGCTCAAGTTTGTAACCGACACATAGGCATTTTAGATTCCCAATAAACTGGATCTCTTTCCTGATGAAAGTTGTGGTCAACTTCCTATTTTTACAGGCTTCACAGAGGCCCTCACATATGGAATAACTACTCTGGTTTAAATGGTTAAACACAGATAAGGACCGCATCTTTATCCTGACTTTGGAAAACCGCATTGTTGAACGTTACCTAACAATCCTTGGCCCAGAGCAAACGCTGTGAAACCTACTCTAGGCAGAATTCATAGCACCGCCTTTGTCAGCAGCACCGCCAAAGGTAAGCCTCAGAACCCTCTGTGGTGAGACCACTATGACCATTTTACTGAGGAGGAAAACTGAGGCTTACAGGTTTAGTAAGTTCTTAGAGAGCAAGATAACACGGAATGGCTCAATCCCTACCCCAAACCCGCTGCTCCCTGCTTGGTGGTACCCGTGATCCTCGCCTCTGCCTTTGGGAAGGGTAAGGGGGAGAGGCCGCTGGGACCAAAAGCAAAGCGAGTAGAACCTGTCAGAATTCTTTCCTACTTATGGTATCCACTCTGAGGTGAGGCTGGGTCGTCCTTACTTTGCGCTTTGGCTGCTCAGGACAAACGCCCTGCCATCCGTTCCCTCTCTCTCTCCGAAAACCCTCCTCCGTCCCTGCACTTGGAGCCATCGTTGGGTGGGCAGGGGCCCCCAGGTTACCTCCAGCCGTGGCCAATGGCCGTGCCGGGGGCAGAGCCCGCTCCCCTCCGCCCGTTGCTAAGTGCGAGGATGACACGGATCCAGACGCCGTCAGCCGCGAGAAGGGAGAGGCGAGAGTCGGAGCGCGTGGGAGCGCAGAGGCTGGAGGAGGGAGGGGGACCCCGAGCGCACAGAGCGCGGAGGGAGGCGCGCGCGGGAGCGAACATCCACCCGGATCCCGGATCCCGAGCCAAAGCAGCAGCTGCGGCCGCGCCCTTGCCGGAGCCCGTGCGTCCGCCTAGCCCCGCTCCGCCCGCAGTGGTCAGGGCTGCAGAGGATGGAGGATTCCCAGGAGACATCGCCATCCTCCAACAACTCCTCGGAGGAGCTCAGCTCTGCCCTGCAGCTGTCCAAGGGCATGTCCATCTTCCTCGACGTAAGTACAGACGGCAGAAGCTAGACGGGTGCTTCCCAGCATCTTTCTTTTCACCTCCCCAAAGGAAGGGGTTCGGTTCAGGTGCTGACCAGCCAATGCTTTGTCCCTAGAACACGGGCGAGAACTACCTCCTTTGCCTTCAGAAAACACCGATGCAAATGATGCAAATGAAGAACAACTGTCCCTTAACTTGCAGCTAGGGCTGTCCCAGACCTGCAGCTTGTGGCTTAACAACCCTTAAGAAAATTACAAAAGTTAGATTTTCCAACAGGCTGGGTTTCATAGGGACACTATTGCAAATACAACAGTCAACATTTGCATGCATAGGACATTTTAAAGGGGCGCAAGGTGTGCGTGGGTGAGATGGGGACACTGTCCCAACTCATCTCTAATGCGCCCTATTTGCAGCCTCCACCCTCATGGATGCGCTCAAGCAACCCAGCGAGGGAAGCAGCAGAGATTGAGAGGCCCTCGCCACCCTCTCCCAGGCCCCCTTGGAAAACAATTACTTTGAGCATATTTGTTTTTCTTTCTACAGGGGTGAGAAAGATCATTTTCATAATTATTCTTTTTGTCACTGCCACTTTTTCTATTTTCCCTTTTTCTTCCCTGATATTCTCCTTCTCTGTACCTCTCCAAGTTGCAATTACCATTGTCATCTTCATCAATTCTAGCTTTTGACTGTCCCTTTGGTCCTATTTCTCACTTCGGTATCGACTGCCTGCCTTCATTACTCTGACCTGATCACATCCTTTCTTTTCTTTCTGTGCTGTTTTTCTTCCAATATGCAGTGGTTTCTATCTTTATGGCACTTTTACTTCTTATTTATTTATCGATTTTGTTTCCTCACCGTCCTGCTGTTTCTGTTCTCTGCATTTTTCCCTCTGTTGCCCATCTCTTTTCTCTGCTTCAGGGCTTCTCTCAGCTACTTGCCCAGCTCAGGGCTCTCCCAGCCCCTCAGTTGTCACATTCATGCTGTTGCCTGAGGTCGTGTCTAGCTCAGTGGGGACAATTCTGGCTGCTTCTTATTTAGGCATGATAGAAAATGGCAAAGGGTATAGAGGAGTGCTATGTGCTCTGTCTTATACCCTTCTCTGAGTTATCCTTTCTTATTATAATCAAAATGAGTGGGAGATGGGCCAGAGGCCAGATACATTTGTTCATGGAGAGATAAAAATATGAGGAAATCAAGTTATTAGTATCATCATGGTGAGGCAGAGATAAAGAGGTTAGGAAGACGCAAAGAACTCTCCTAAGTTTATTTTGAATGGATTGGCCAGAATTCTTTTTAACTCTAGGGAAATAAACTCCTATCAATAATTCAACCTGTTGTAAGGCAAATGATAGAAGCAAGGTTCAATTGTATGTACTGGCAGACTTCACCCCTTATCACCTGGTGGCTGCAGTTGGAGATCCAGGCATTCTGGAATGGTCACCTCCTTCCCACCAGATCTCAGGTGGGTGATTCCTATTGAGCCATTCAATCAGATGTTGAAGTATCTTATCCTTCATGAGAATTTATCTCTGCCTTTGACCAATCAGATGATGTTATTGGTGCTGATAGCTTAACGGACTGATATTATTTCAAGTTTTGCTGTTCAGGGCCATAAAGCCCTTGAGGAGGTGAGCTGGGAGAAGAGAAGGGCACCACAACACACCTTAAAAGTCAGGGCCCATGGAAATCATGTCAGTTATGAGGCTGACAAGTAACCATGAAGTTGATTGAAAGGGAACAACTGGGGCCTCCATTCATTCTGACCTGATCTTCACTCCATCGCACATCGACATCAAGTGCTTCCCTGTGCTTTTTAAAAAGCAGTTCACAAACCCTGGTGATAGTGTGGAGATGAATGGATTAAAACTATACAAATGGAAAGTCATCTTCCTGACTCATACACCAGCCATAGCTTAAGTGTTCAACGGCAATGTTTTTAAAAAGAGAAAATTAAAATTTCATTTTTTATTATGTATGCATGATTGTTTCCAAGTCTGTAAACAAACAGCATCAGGTGCCTGTACTAAAAGAACTTGTAGTCTATGAATAGGGTGCTCTTGCTTTTTTATATTTCAGGGATTTAAAAATAAAAATACGAAACTGATTCTATATGAGAAGTTTTGACATGCTTGTCAGTAAAATGCTAGAGTCTACAAAAAACACCTGCCATTGGATTTTGTCTCAAATGGAAAAGATTTTGTTTACACTTTTCTTTGAGTTATTTTGTGAAAAATCTAACACTGATGAAATATGTGATATGAAAAATGATTTGTTACTTAAGAATTTGTGAATTATTCATTTCTGGATCATATGCTTTTAGCAAAATAAAATGTGAAATATACATGCATCACTTTATTAGATTTAATATATTCTAGTGGCACTAGCAAGGAAGATTACTTTTAAAATTCTCTTCATATTATAATAAATAGGTGACAGATATTACCTGTTCCAAACTGGAACAAGTAATTATCTGTGTGGCCTCTGTGTCACACAAATAATTTCCAAATTTGAGGAAAACTTTGATTTCTAGAACTTTTTATTGCAATGTCACTGGAATAATCATTTAAGAAAGGATGTAAACTGCTATTGAGGATACTATTAATGACATGATACACATGCCCAGCTGGTTAGAAACTAGAGAGAGATTTTAACAAGAAAATCAGAGACAGATTTGCCACAACTGTTGGCTTTTGCTCACTATCCTCTCCAAATCAGCAATAGTAATGTCTATGATACTTACTTCTGTTGTGAGTATGAAATAAGAGTTCATAGTCTAGAAAATGGAAACAAAAAGTGTTCCATAAATTTAAATTATTATGGTTATTTCAGTGTTCCACACTGAGAGGATAAGTAACAGCAACAGTAGCTAAATCCACAAACTGATATGGGGACTATTTCTTCATAAATCTAATTTATATAACTGCCTTGCTAGAATATGACAGAATTAATTATCAGTTCATCATAAATACTCTTGAATACCTGTTGGGGGCTTAGAAAACCTACCATTGGTGCCAAGGTATGCCAGTACATTGAGGCTGGAGTGAGCATTTGCACAGAGCATGCCACAGGAAAGGGACTGAACTGGGTCCTGGCAACATGGGGGCCAGGGGGATGACTGTTGCTTTTCCTTTTACACCAGTGGACTATCATTTCCCAGCTTGCTGCATTCCAGCTAACAGAGGAGGAACTCTAGTTTGGAATACTAGTCCGTATAGCATACGTCTCCTCTTTTGAGTCATTACATTAATCAACTCCACTACTCTGCAAAGGGAGAAAAACAAACCTTCAACTCACTCCCAAAAGCAAGATAAATTCCCAAATGAAATTAGTTGCAACTTCGCCCACCCAATACCACTTTCCTTGCCCATCAGTTTTCTTTTGATTTTCAACTAGAAGAGAAGTCACTATTCCTCACTTCACTGCTGAAGTGGGAGGGAGGCTGAGAGGCTGTGAAGGGGAGGAATGACTTTACTGCTTATCTTCCCTTCTTTCCTTCATCTAAGCATGCACACTCATGTACATTCTGAACACAAGATACAGTGTGTAGACAGGAACTTGGTGAAAAGAAGAATTAGTTTCTCTTCACAAGGATACTTAATGAAGTATCTGAAGCCCTGCATATGCTTATTTATATGACGTGTGAGATGGACAGAGGACTGTCAAAGCAGAATGAGGCTTCCAGATGCAATGGTTCTGTGAGTGAACTCTGTTATAGCCACACACCACCCATCTCACCTTGACACACACACACACTTGCTCATTTGAGTGAGATTATCCAGTTCAGGAAATGGCAGTTAACCCCATCATTGTCTACCCTCATTGGCAAGGCAATTGTCACTCTTGTAGTTATAGGAACCAGCAGAAATTAGAAAAAAAACTTGATGCATGCTGCGCTTAATACCTAGGTGATGGGTTGATAGGTGCAGCAAACCATCATGGCACACATTTACCTATGTAACAAACCTGGACATCCTGCACATGTTCCCTGGAACTTAAAAAAATTATTATTATTATTTTTGAGACAGAGTTTCTCTCTTGTTGCCCAGGCTGGAGTGCAATGGCTCCATTGCAGCTCACCGCAACCTCCACCTCCCTGGTTCAAGTGATTGTCCTGCCTCAGCCTCCTGAGTAGTTTGGATTACAGGCATGCGCCACCATGCCTGGCTAATTTTGTATTTTTAGTGCAGACGGGGATTCTCCATGCTGATAAGGCTGGTCTCGAACTCCTGACCTCAGGTGGATCACCTGCCTCAGTCTCCCAAAGTGCTGGATTACAGGCATGAGCCACGGTGCCCAGCCAAAATAATTATTTTTAAAAAGAAAAAAAAGTAAAAGTTAGTCTCACTGCTATCATACATTAAAAATTGTTTGCCCACACTGGACCTACCCTAGGCAACATTGAGAAGATGAACATGTGTGCTAATTCCATCTCTCCATCCATCTTTCAGTCCTGCTTCCTCACATCCAGTTTCAGGGCAACTAGTGGCCCAGTAGTGAAACTACCTGCTGGAAGTCCGAACCCACATACCCTGACTCAGACACTTGCCTTCCCTGGGTGGTGGGACTCCATGTTCTAGATGTGTCCTGGGTCCCTGCCTTATATTCCAGTTTCTCAGGAATATACAAAGGGATTATTTCACCTCGTTATCAAATCTTAATCTAATGCCTGGTAGGAGGCACTGAGAAATATTAGTTCAGTAAATGATGATTGTGTCCATTTTTTAATGCTTCAAAGAAAACATTTGCCTTTTAACACCTTCCTTCAATAACTGAAAGTGATAAATAAGGAATTTTAGTCAAAACCATCAAATAAATTTTGATATAAAGGAATCTATTTGATAACCTTTAAATTGTAGCAAAAACACAGTATTACCTGTCTTCAAATTTTGAGCCTGACCATAATATTTAAATTTGTTTACCATCCATCTAGTAGTAGCAACCTTAAGATCAGCTGACACAGATTATTCTGGTACCATAACATAATGAGCTTGATTCTCATCTGCAGTACATTTTTTATTAGCCCATGGACTCAGACAAAATTTGGAACAGAGACAGTTCTGTTCATATTTAGTTACAAAAAACTGTCTTAATAACAAAAACTGCCGTTTTGATTTCATCTCTAAGAAGCTAAATGCTACTTGAGATTGTTCTTTATGAAATGAAATGAACAGAAGTCCTGGGTCTAACTCTGTGGTGTATGATTATTCCTATTCTAGTTACTTTGAATTCCTGAGGACAAAATACAGCTTGAAATAGAATCTTAGAATGAATCAAAAGTAAGAAATAGGATGTGTTTCATTTCTCCCTGACTCTCAGCTGGGGATCCATGGTTGCAGAGGACAGGAAGAAGCTGGTTGTGATGAAAGAATGAATCCTCAAAATCCCCACTAGCAATTACCTCTATAGAGGAAAAAAGAATCTGGGTCTCATTTTGCTTTAAGCATAGCTCTTACTATTGAAAGCAGTCCTCTGGCAGTAATTACATCAATTTAGTAAAAAGGATCATCATCTTCTCCATGCAAGTCTAGGTGATACATACCTGTTTCTGGAAAAGTTTCATGAGTGAGATCTTTAGTGGTAATACTAGTGTCTTATAATAAAACACACTGTGGCAATGATTAGATTTATCTGTACCTCATTTCCGTGAAGTCGGCAGAATGAAAGAAGGATAACGTTTTTGTAGTAGAAAGCGGTAAAACAGACAACTTGGGAATAAAAATGATTGCTCATGTTTCAAGCTGGCCAGCAAAAAGTGACAATCTAAATATAAAAATAGCTCTGGTTATTTAACTATAACTACAAGTTACTTAAGAAAAAAAATCCTCAAGGGCCCCTTCCAAGTAATTAAAATTTGTCTTTGCAATATGCTAGTGGGACATCCTCTTTGGTACTGTATATAACGTAACTCTGTAGTGTGTTATCCAGATCATTTTCTATTAGCATGCCTATCAGGGCTAACTTTATTGCAGCTAGCAGAAAAAAATCATACAAACTGTCTTAAGATTATTTTTGAAATAATTTATTGGCTCCTATAATGAAAAAGCAGAGATCATCTCATCAAGATTGCTTAATCAGAGACTCAGGGAGTGCTATCTGGATCTGCCTTCTTTAAGTCTCTGAACACTGCTTTTTTGGGTGTTGATTCTTTCCAGGTTATATATTGCACTAGTTTCCTAGGGCTGCTGTAACAAACTACCGCAATAGAATGTACTCTCCACGGTTCTGGAGGCGAGAAGGGCAAAATCAAGCTTTTAGCAGGATGGTGCTCCCTGGGAAGGCTCCAGAGAGGAAACTGTGTCACGATTCTTCTCTTGCTTCTAATAGCCCCTGTCAGTCCTTTGGCATCCTTGGCTTTCAGCTGCACCATGCCAATACCTGCCTCTTTGATCATATGATTTCTACCATCTATTTCTGCATCTCTGAATTTCTCTCCTTATAAGGTCCCCATCATTGGACTTAGGGACCACCCAATCCAGCTATATTTTATGTTAATATGATTATCATATGAGCAAATCCTATTTCTTCTCTTTTATAATTTAAACTTTTATTTTAGATTCAGGGGGCATATGTGCAGATTTCTTACATGGGTATATCACGTGATGGTGAGATTTGGGGTAGAAATGATTCCATCATCCAGGTAGTGAGCATAATACCCAACAGTTAGTTTTCCAACCTTTTTCCTCAACCTTTTCCTTCTGTTAGTCCCTAGTGTGTGTTGCTGCCATCTTTATGTTCATGTGTACCCAATGTTTAGCTCCCACTTATAAGTGAGAATATGCAGTGTTTGGTTTTCTGCTTCTGCATTAATTCACTCAGGAAAATGGCCTCCAGTTGCATCCATGTTACTGCAAAGGACATGATCTTGTTCTTTCTTATGGCTGTGTAGTATTCTATGATGTATATGTACCATATTTTCTTTATCCAATAGACCATTGATGGGCATTTAGGTTCATTTAGCATTTTTGCAATTGTGAATAATGCTGCAATGAATATAAGAGTGCCATGTGTCTTTTTGGTAGAATGATTTATTTTCTTTTGGATATATAGCCAGTAATGGGATTGCAGAGTCAGATGGTAGTTCTGTTTTAAGTTCTCTGAAAAGTCTCCAAACTGCCTTCCACAGGATGGACTAATTTACAACCCCACCAACTGTGTATGGGCATTCCCTTTTCTCTGTAGCAGCTCCAGCATCTGGTTGTGTTTTTTGTTTTTTAACTTTTTGATAATAGCCATTCTGACATATGTGAGATGATAGCATATTGTGGTTTTGATTTGCAATTCTCTGATGATTAGTGATGGTGAGCATTTTTTTCATATGTTTTTTGGCCACTTGTATGTCTCCTTTTGAGAAGCGTCCGTTCATATCTTTTGCCCACTTCTTAATGGGGTTGTTTTTGTTTTTTGAAATAAGTTCCTTACAGATTCCGTATATTAGTACTTTGTTGGATGCATAGTTGGTGAATATTTTCTCCCATTCTGTAGGTTATCTGATTACTCTGTTTTTACTCTGTTGATGGTTTCTTTTCCTGTGCTCTAGCCCTTTAATTTAATTAGTTCCCACTTGTCAGTTTTAGTTTTTGTTGCAATTGCTTTTGAGAACTTAGTCATAAATTTTTTCCTAAGGCCAATTACTTCTTAATGTCCAGAATAATATTTTCTAGGTTTTCTTATAGGATTTTTGTAGTGTGAGGTCTTATATCTAAATTTTTAATCCACCTTGAGTTAATTTTTGTTGATAGTATTAGATAGTGCTCCAGTTTCATTCTTCTGCATATGACCTACTAGTTATTCCAGCACCATTTATTGAATAGGGAATCCTTTACCCATTATTTATTTTTGTTAACTTCATTGAAGATCAGATGGCTGTAAGTGTACAGCTTTATTTCTGCATTCTCTATTCTGTTCCATTGTTGCATCTGGGTTTTTTTTTGTTGTTGTTGTTGTTGTTGTTCTAGTACCATGCTGTTTTGGTGGCTGTAGCCTTATTGTATAGTTTGAAGTCAGGTAATGTGATGCCTCCTGCTTTGCTCTTTTTTTTTTTTAGAATTGCTTTAGCTATTCAGGCTCCATTTTGGTTCCATGTAAATTTTAGAACAGTATTTTCTAATTCTGTAAAAAATGACATTGGTAGTTTGATAGGAATAGTATTGAATGTATACATTGCCTTGGGTGGTATGGCCATTTTAACAATATTTATTTTTCCAATTCATGAGCATGGAATGTTTTTCCATTTGTATGTGTCATTGTTGATTTCTTTCTGCAGTGTTTTGTAATTCTCCTTGTGGAGGTCTTTCCCTTATTTGGTTAAATGTATTCCTAGGTATTTTATTTTTTGTATGGCTGTTGTAAATGGGATTGTGTTCCTGATTTGGCTCTCAGCTTGAATTTTATTGCTGCATAAAAATACTACTGATTTTTGTACCTTTATTTTGTGTCTTGAAACTTTATTGAAGTCATTTATCAGTTCCAGGAGTCTTTTGGTGGAATATTTAAAGTTTTCTAGGTATAAGATTATATCACCAGTGAAGAGAGATAATTTGGCTTCTTATTTTCCTATTTGGATGCCTTTTATTTCTTTCTCTTGCCTGATTGCTCTGGCAAGGACTTCCAGTACTATGTTGAATAGGAGTGGTGAGAGTGGGTGTCTTTGTTTTGTTCTAGTTCCAGTTCCAGTTCTAGTTCTAGCATTCAGGGGAATGCTTCCAGCTTTTGCCTGTTCAGTATGATGTTGGCTGTGGGTTTGGAATAGATGGCTTTTATTATTTTGAGATATGTTCCTTCAATGCCTAGTTCGTTCAGAGTTTTTATCATGAAGGAATGTTAGATTTTATTGAGGGCTTTTCCTCCCAAACCCCTATTTCCAGATAAAGTTACATTCACAGATACTGAGCATTAGTACTTCAGCATTTAGTTTTGGAGGACACAATTCAACCTACAATATATCCAATAACAAAATGACTGATAGCAATACATTGACTATATATTCCCAAGTTCAAAGCCAGCAGAAGGTATAGTATGTCCCTCTCCTAACCACTCAAGCAAAACCATGGTTTGTCATTCACTGGCCCTAATGTGCTCATGTCTGAGCAGTCACTGTTTCTCAGACATGAGTGCTCTGCCCAACACTGGAGCACCTAGGCCAAGCAAGCAGGAAAGGTTGGCTTCCCAGGGAACATTAGAAATCATTACTAAAAAGTAATAGATACTGGATAGCCAAATACTTCTTATACATCAAGACAATTTAAATGTATCCAAAATAATATGATTAATAAAGTATAAATAAAGTAGATATAGTATAGACATGTGGGCTACTGTTTACCCATGATGTATTATTTTTCTTTTATGTTTTGTTTAATCCCAGTTTTATTGAAGTATGGTTGACTTACATTAAAGCACACGTGTGTGAAGTGTAAACTTGATGAGTTTTAACATATATGAAACCATTATCACAATCAAGATAGTAACTCTATCACCTGCAAAAGTTTTCTCACATCCACTTGTAATCCACCCTGCCCTGCCCTGCCCTGCCCGTTCCTAGGAACCTTAATCTGCTTTCTGTCCCTATAGATTAGTTTGCATTTTTAGTAATTTTATATACATGGAATTACAAGTAGATGCTCTTTTGTGTCTAGGTTATCTACTCAGCCTAATTAGTTTTAGATCTATCCAAGTTGTTGTGTCAACAGCTCATTCATTTTTATTGCTCAGTAGTATTCTATTGTATGGCTATAACACAGTTTGTTTCTCCATTCATGGTTTGTTTATCCATGGACATTTGGGTTGTTTTCAGGTTTTAGATATTATAAAGAAAGATCTTAATTGGGAAACCCTTAAAATTATACTGTATTTTATTTAATCTTGGATAAATTATGTGTAGGTGTAATGTTCACTGCAATATTTATTTAAAATGGTGATAATTTTTTATCTTTTTCCTTTCCAGATACTGAGGAGAGCAGACAAAAATGGTGAGATGAAAAATCTACAGTTTCTATTTATTAATCTCTTACATTTTAGACTACCTTATAAAGAATAATAAGGAAAAAGGGGAGAGTGCTGGAAAATGACATATAAAATACCACCTTATTGTACTAGTGATCATTTTAGGTAACTTTTAGGCCCTAAATATTCATAAGAAGTTGGCAGAAAAATTTACATTTGACAGGAATGTTTATGCCTTTGAAGTGAGGAGCTCTGCTATATTTGAGCTCTGGCTTTTCCTTTTCATGCTTTAAAAAATAATTTTGCAGCAGTAACAGCTTCTATTCATTGAGTGTCTACTGTGTGCCAGGCATTGGGCCAAGTGCTTTGTGTATATTATGTCCTAGAATTATTAAGATACAAAGCTGAGACCGGACCCCAGGTCTGTATGACACCCAAGTCTGGACTCTCCACACTGAACTTTATGGTAGCCTTGGAGATGCTACTGCACTGCAGGAGGGCTGCCTGGAAACCTGCATTGGCAGTTTATCTCTACCCCATCGTTCCTGGACACTGCTTTCCCATTTGAAATGTATGCATTGGAAGTGATCATCTGTAGTGACAGAGAAGTAGGAGATGCAAACTCCAAAATAAAAACTTGCTCTGTTGATTTAATGATGACTGCACAAAGTCTAATTGGAAGCTGTCATAAGCAGTATCTTTTCACTCTATTATTCCACTAGAAACTTTGTCCCAGAGAACACCAAATCAAAACTTATTTTTTTTTTCCTGCTATATTGTAAGTACTCTGGTAGAGGTATATGCTTAACAAGAATTTCTTGACAAATTTAGGATACAAAGGGTTTTTTCCCTTTTTTTGGAATCCCATTTCTTATCTATGGGGAAAGGCTACAGGCAGAGTCCAGATCTGACAGTTTAAGACATATGTTGTGGTCTATGTCACCCTTCATCAGGCAGAGCAAGAAAAACTTGACTGACAAGACACACATTTCTACACAAAAGAAGATTGTTAATCCAAGGAACAATGTAGTAGTGTCCAAGTCCCAATAATATTTAATTGTGCTTGGTCATCAAAAGATTTTCTCAGACTATATTGTGCTGATTGCTATATTGTCAGTTAAATGTGCTTTTTGTTTCCACTTGAAGCATTTCATTACTTTGTTTTTAGTTTTAGTTTTTGCTTTTTTTGAAAGAGCGTTGCTCTCTCACCCAGGCTGGAGTGCAGTGGTGTGATCTGGGCTCACTGCAACTTCTGCCTCCTTTGTTCAAGCAGTTCTCCTGCCTCAGCCTCCCGAGTAGCTGGGACTAGAGGCGCATGCCACCACGCCCGACTAATTTTTGTATTTTTACTAAGGACAATGTTTCACCATGTTGGCCGGGCTGGTCTTGAACTCCTGACCTCAAGTGATCCACCCTCCTCAGCCTCCCATAGTGCCAGGATTACAGGCATGGGCCACTGCACCCAGCCCATTTGATTACTTTTAAATATGGAAATAGTGACGGCATCATTTTGTCTTCTCATCTCATCCTTCCATCTTTTGCCTGATATCCAGCCCCAGGGATGCCTGCTATACAATTGATTAGCCCACTTGTCTCTATGCCACCTGCGCTGTATTTCAGTGCTGTATCCATCTGAGAAATGCTTTTGCTCCCTCTCCACTCAGGCTCCTGGTTTTCTCAGGCTACACTTTCATTTTCTAGACCACAAAGCTCTGATTTAGGGCCACTCTTAACTTTGTATGTATTTCTCTTCTTTCCATCAAAGTTAGCATAATCCTTAGTCAGAAAAAAAAGCATTGAACAAAATAATTCACATGATTCAATGGCTTATGATAGCCTCAAATACCATGCTGCATGAAGTGGTCACTTGCACTGGCAGACCCATGTCTCATATTTCCTCACCTGCCCCTTCCCCAACAGACACCTCTTCCCCCCTTACCGCCTCTCCGAATGTCCATCCCAACATGCTGTCATACTACCTGCCTTTCTGCTTTTATCTTTCACAGTCTTCCACATGTACCCTCCTCTGCAGCTGCTGAAGCACTCAATCCCCGGGGCACCCCCCATCTACCAAACTGCTATGATGTTGCCTTGCTGTGACCTCCGCCTCCTACAACTTTCCACCCTCAGTCAGCTTGAGAACACTCATGCTTTGCTATTCCTGCTCAAAAGGCACCTTATCTGGGAAACCTCCCCCGGTTCCTCTTCTTGTGCTCTCAACACTTTAGCACATATTGATTATTGTCCTCAAAGTGGAGACTGCAGTTGTTGGCTGGAGATTGTACTTCTCTAAGCCAAACGTGCCTCTCTAAGGCAAGGAACTTGTGTTACAAGTAGAAAGTAGGCCCAGCTAGTGCTAGGTGCTCAATAGATATTTGTTTAATGAATTAAGAAGAAAATACAGCATATGTCCTATTCAGCCTTAAAAGAAAGAAGAAATTTTGTCATTTGTGACAAGATGAATGGAATTGGAGGACATTATGCTAAGTGAAATTAGTCAAACAGAAAGACAAATACTGCATGTTCTCACTTCTATGTGGAGCCTAAAACAATTGAACTCATAGAGGCAGTGGGTAGAATGGTAGTTACAGAGGCTGGGGAGTGAAAAGAGTGGGGTGGTGATAGTTGAAAGGTACAAAGCCTCAGGAGGAATAAGTTTAATTTTTTTTTTAAGATCAATTGCACAGCATGATGAATATAGCTCATCATTGAGTTCTGTACATTTTAGTATCACTGAGAGTTAATTTCTTCTAATGTTCTCATCACCAAGAAATCTCAAATATTTGAGGTGATAGAGATATTAGTTAGCTTAATCTTTCCATATTATATTTAAAAATTATAAAATCACTTTGTATCCCATAAATAAATACAACTATAATTTGTCAGTGTATAATAAAAATTTAAAAAGGATTGAGGATGGTTTGCTCCATTATTTCTCTCTCTTCTATGTCTACTTTCCCCCTACCTTTCATCCCACCTGACTCTTCTCCCTCATTCTCAGTGTAAAGTTGGAGGGAGGCAGAGTCAAGCAGGTTTGGATTTAAACCACAAGTATGCAACGTAGTAACCTTTTAAAGGTATGCCCCTAGTAACCTTGTGAAGAGCATAGATAATGACATCTACTATGTAATGTGGTAATTATGAATAATAAATGAGGGACTATCTGTAAAGTTGCCAGGGAAATGCCTGGAACATAGTAACAACTAAACACTTGCTCATTTTACTGCTGTTATGATTAGTATTATCTCCATTGCTACTGAAAGCTTGAGCTGTTTTTTGTGCTGTGATGACTTGATTATCTGAGATATTTTTTAACATATTAGTTATTTCCATTGCAGTGGAGCTTAGTAGAAAAGAAAAATAAAGCTATTTACCATATATGCAATATTTAAAAGGGAAAAAGATCTTGGAAAATCTAATGTAAATTAGAAGATACAAGCATAAGAAAGTAAGCATCTCTCTGTACCATGTGTTCACCGCATTCTGTATTTGCAAATAAACAGCTGTTACATGTATTTCAGCTCTTAGTAACAGACCCTTATGTGATAGAATCCCTTGTGGACAGCATAATTGGTGACAGAATAACGAAAGGAAGAAGAGGCAATAGGCGGTATAATTGTTTGCCTGCCCAGAGGACAGATTTAGCTTTTGGAATCTATCTGACATCTGACAAAAAAAGAGAAGCTGCTGGGGGCAGGGGGAGGGGGAGGATACACAATTAGTGATTAGCTAAAATGATGGTATCTTTGAGAGATTTTTTTTTGTTTTTTGTTTTTAATCTTAGGCTAGGATCCTAACCATAAAGATAGACCACAAAATAGGGTTGCTTAGGAGAGATGCTAGTGCTTTGATCCAAAGAGCCCCAAATTCAAGCTTTCAGAAATGTAAAACTTCTGAGAAAGTTTATTTATGGGTTGAATGAAAATGGAAATGATATGTGGGTATTTATAAAATTTGCAAAAATATTTTTAAAATTTAAATATATTTTGTTTTAAAATATTTAATTGAGAAAGGTCAAATGTATTCAAGGTACGTAATATAATGATTAGATACATGTATATATTGTGTAATGCTAACTACAACCAAATTAATTAAAACATTCATCACCACCCATCATGTACATTAGAGCCCCAGAATTTGTTCATCTTATAACTGAAAGTTTGTACCCTTGAACATCATCTCCCATTTTCTCCATGCCAAGCCCATGGCACCCGCCATTGTACTCTCTGTCTCTACGAGTTCAGCTTTTTCAGATTCCACATATAAGTGAGATTGCACAGTATTTGTTTCTCTGTCTGTAGGCAAGAATGTGTTTGAAATCTTAGTAAGAGGCAAAATGAAAAGCTTCATAGTAGTGAATAGCACCATCAGATTCCTCTTGTTGACTTGCACTTGCTAAGATCTGTTGTCATTCTTGATCAGTAAGTAGGAAGGCTGTATGGGTGGCACTTTTGATCCCTGTTAAATCACTGTCCTCTTTAAGAGATTGTTATAATTCTCCTCAGGCCTTTAGTCCAGTCCAGCAGTCTGTACATATTAAATTTGAGGGCAGAGATTGTGCCTATTTCATATATCCCCAGGTCAACCATGATGAGCATAATGGCTGCTGCAACACAGGTGTTCATAAATATTTGTGAATTATTTTTAGGAAATGCATAAACAACAATTTCACTGAAGAAATATAATCATGTATATAATCTAAGCAAATCAAGCACTGTTGTTGATTACCTGTTTATTAATTAATAATGTTCAATAAAATGTATGGAGGATATATTATGAGGTCTGTCTCACTTCATATTTGGTAATTTTTTTCACTTTGTTGTATATGCACCTATATGTGTATTTCAGATTACAAATATACAAATATAACTATAGTTATAGCCTGAATTTGTATACATCTTGAATATGATGTTCTGATGCTCCAATATGTGGTAGTTTAATTGATTTAAAGCATCTGATGCTTTCTTGGTAGGCTGAATTATGACTGAATGACTAACACACCTCCAGAAAATAATGTTGGCAATGA